CTGTCCCCAGGCCTCTCAGCTCCACAAGCTTACCAGAAAATCTGCAGACTATAGCATTACCTACAGACAGAGCACCTAGAGCCACTGAACATACTTAATCCTGCAACCATATTAGATACCTCCAGTGGTGCTGAAACAGCTGGCTGATGATGTCATCAGGTTATTATTACCTTCAAAAGGTCAAGTCACTCAAGGGGGTTCTGATAACTAGAACAGACAAACATCACACTCATCTTGAAGAAGAGTATCAGAAGGGAAGTCTGGAAAACTACAAACTGTTGGGACACACCTTTGCTCCTGGGAGGTTTATGGAGCAAATGTATTGTTATGGAGCAAATTTATGGAACCCATTTCCAAGCATATGAGAGAGATTGGGAACAACCAGTATCGATTTACCGAATCACAGCAGAGCAACCAGTTTGCCAGATCTGTGGATAAGGATGGATGTTGTACACTTTGACTAAACACAAGGCTTTTGAGATGGTCCCTCATAGTATCCCATAGTTAAATCGGTGAACATGAACTGCACTCTCAGCATACTAGCAGATGCTGCTGAATCAGGGAAATGACTATGCTATAAGGCGAGGCTGCTATTCAGAGGCACCTTCACAAGATGGAGATAAGCTAAAAAGAATATCATGAAGTTCAAATAAGCAAAGTCCTGCATCTGGATTGGAATTGCTCTGTGCAGCTGCACTGAATGGCCAGAAAGCATCTCTGGAGAAAATGTCTGGAGGATACGGTGGCCAAGTTGAATAAGGGTCAGCAATGCCTCTGCATTAAAGTCAGATCGCCATACCCTGGGCTGCAGTAGCAAGAATGCAAGGGAAGTGCTTATTGCCCTCCATTCAGCACTGCTGGGACCACATCTGGAGTCCTGTGTCCAGTTGTGTTCTCTCCCGAACAAGAAAGAAACTGCTACACTGGAGTGAACCCAGTGCAGTCCCATCCAGCCAGCTGGGTAGCCCACTGCATTTATAAGGAGAGGAACTCAGCGTGCACAACTCTGAGAAGAGCAGGCTAGGAAGAGACCTTATTGTTCGCTTCAACTACCTAATGGGAGGGTGCAGGGAAGAGAACTCCTCTTGGAGGCACACAGTGGAAGGGTCAGAGGCAATGGACAGAAGCTTGCATGTCACCAATTCAGTTAGGTATTAGGAAAAGGGTGAGGGTTTTTTGGTTCTGTTTGTTTTAAACCACGAAGGTAGTCAAATACCAGGTCAGGTTGCCCAAATGACCTCCAGAAATGTTTTCCAGCACAAATCATTCTAACATCAAGTCTACAAGCAGAACAGAGCACAGAGTAGAGACCTCAGCACAGTACTACTGTGAATTATTTTCTGCCACTAGCACAGTTAAGTGTCATATTAACATGCCAATGAATGACCCAAAAGAATATTAATCTCACTCATATAGAAGGGCATCAAAACCATGCAACCCAGCCTCTCAGTGATCCTCAAAGGTTATTCATTTGGCTAGAATGCTGGGATAATTATTATCATAATCAATACAAGATTCACTCAGCTGGGTGCAAAAAGGGTTTACATAGCATTTTCTTTGTTATTTTTTTGATTTGAGACATAAGGCTTATTTGTCAATGCCTTGGTTAATACAAGACAGGAACAATGAAATTATCTATATCGGGGTGTGTGGGTATTTTATTTTAAAATCTTCTGGAAGTGCTTCATAGGTAGAAAAACACGCAAAATATAGGAATTCAAACAACAAGCAGTAGATCTTGTTGAGACATGCAGGAATTTGTCTCATGAAGCTAAAACCAATTCTTTGCATCTTCCAGTTGTACTTATTATAATTAATGGAATTACATTCTTCCTTGCTGACTACTATATGGGACTATTACAGATTTTCACCCGAATTTCAGCATAAACAATTCATATGAACTAAGCAGAGCATGCCAGATTGATCTGTGGTGGTAAGAACAGCTTTCAAGATGATTTATCTCTGAAGAGGGAAAAGAGAATTCTCACTGCAATCCTTGCAATCCAGTAAATAAAACTCAGAGGCAAAAAAAAAGAACATCCATTTATTTCAAATGAAAATTTCTAATTATAAAAGTCAAAAATTTTGCTTTCAACACTTGTAAAATAAAGTTAATCAGTTAGTCTAAATCATGCCTAAGATAGACAAGCGTTTAAACAGCTGCAATATTACATGAAGGCCCTTTCAGCATACAAAGAGACTCCAAGATTCATAAATAAAACTGCTTTCTAAACCAAGTATCTATTCTCATTCTTCCACAGCAATATATATGGAGTCTTATCTAGATTTACTAAAGTAAGTACATTCGGGGCTTGAGATGCAAGCTTTGGGGCTTGAGACACAAAGACAAAATCTTAAGCAAAGATTTCAGGTGAAAATGAAAGAGTTGTTCATGAACAAAATTAAAGGTACAGAGACAGACACAAAATCCTCATTCCTGTTTTGTAATTTAGAGCTAATTTAACTAATTATGAGCATTCCAAATTCATCAAGATATTTCAGTTCTCATCAGTATAACATTTATTATTATTTGATGTCCCACTTGGTCATTATACTCAGTAAATTAATCTACTAGAAGCACCACCAGAGAAGGTAGCATCTACCAAATCTAGTCTCATCTGAAATTCATTCTGGACAACTGATGTCTCTGGGTAGCATTTACTGGGGCTGGTGACTCATGCAATGAGCTATTAATGCCTGCCTGGCCTTACCAGCACTGCCAGCTCCAGCACAAGCATTCAGGAGAGGGTTGCTTTTGCCTCTAACACTGCTGTTCCACAAGCACCTCAAGGCAGTATAAAACTCCTCTGAGACAGACTGATGGGCTCCCCACACCACAGCCATTCCTCCCTTCACCTGGGTACAACCATCCCGAGAAGCTGCAGAGTGAGCTGATCTGAGTTTGAAACAAACCAAGCCTTAAGGAGCAAGAGGCTTCAGTTTTAATGACTTTCTTGTTCCAGGTTATTATGTGGGTGCACAGGCACTCTCCTGGCATGCAGGAGAGGGGGCAGATAGGACTGCCTTTTGGCTGCAGTGCCATGTGTTTAGTGGACAACAGCACAAACTTGCCTAGTTACAAACCTAGTTGTGACTGAGGATGCACTTGGACACAAGCCTTCTGACTGGCCTGTGCTCTGTTGGGTGGATGACTGTCATTGCCAGGTTACATTCTCTACATTTGCCAAATCACTATAGGCAATGAATCCAAACTGGACATACAAAAGGACATGAACATCAGGAGGGCTTGAGAAAGACAGAATCAAAGACTACAGATGAGTAAAACCAAAACCAAACCCTCCTGTGGCTTTTTTTTGGTGGAGGTAAATGAACTTAATAAATGAACCAATGAAACTGTGTGTCTTGTGATTAAATAAATGTCTGTTTCAATGCAACATAATGTTGTAAACACCTCCTGTTCATGTGTATTCCTGACTAATATCCTCCAAATATCTACTTTAGGAAACAGAAATAATCCACGATACGACCCAAGACATTAATGCTACTGAAAAATGTAGCAAATTCTGCTCAACCACCAAAAGCAGGTATTCAGGGCGGGGGGGGGGGGAAATCCAAAAAATGTTAATTTAGTAAACTAGTTCATCACTCTTTCCCATTTTATTTTTTATTTTTGCTAGTCTGAGTAAAAGTCAGTAGGTGACCTCAGTTCCTGTACCTCATGGAAGCAGACTCTTTACAATATCCCTGTTTTCAATTGTAAATGTTAACCTGATCAACACCATAACGGAGTTTTCACAATAGCCTCAGCTTTAGTAAAACACCTAAAAAATTAGCAAGTCAATTTAAAGTGGAAAACAACTCCCCATTAAATCCTATTCAGACCTGCAATTTCTCTCCAGGCCAAAACATACGTACATGTTCTCCGGGCAGGCTCCCTCTTTGTAATGTTAACAGAACAATTTAAAAGAACTGGATGCTTAAAAAAGGGATGGAATTTAAATATTGTGGAGGAGGGGGATGGGGCTCATTTGGTGTCTTTTGAAGCATCTTCAATTTATGGCTGCATGGCTGTAAATAAGAAACAGGAATACTGCCTGCTTCACTGGAAATACTGGGAAAAATTGGTAGTGTGAAAGCTTTCTCCCAAGTCACAGACTGCAGAATCTGAAGAAACACCATACAGTGTTCTGCAGTATATGGTATTCATTACATTTTTTGTTTCAGTACTGTGTGTAATGGCTATCTCAGAGGACTTCAAGACCCATATCTAGTCTTTCATATTCAAGACCCATATCTAGTCTTCTTCATCTAAAAGTAGAAGGCATCATAAAAGTATGTTAATCCTCTAAATTATTTGCAGGATATATCCTATTAGATTCAACAGAAGATGTTTTTAATCCTGCTGCTGTGATTAAACCTAACTTTACTTCTACATATTTGTGTATCTATGTGAAGACAGTAATGTGGAAAGCAGAACTGCAGAGTTTGTAGCATACATTCATAAAGGCAGCTTTTTCTTATATTATTTGTGGCAATATTCTTCTAAAGAAGCAAGGGGAAGCTTGCTTTAGAAGTTAATTTTTTTGCTGGGCTCCCACTGTCTGTATTTCTTCACTATTATTGTGCTGCAATTAATTCCCATCACCAAATGAACGATGACATCTGGGAAAGTTGCTGAATCAAACACAGAAGAGTAAAAGCACAGTTCCAAAACTGTAAGCTCTGTAGCATGTAGCAGATGAAAATAAGCTTATTTTTACACCAGACAGAATATCAGGAATCACAAACTAATCCTCAACAAACCTTAAATCTGCTGATGTGAGCAAAGAAATTTTAGTAAGATTCACAAAAACCACACGCTCAAAAAGGTGAGACAGTCACCTTAGTCAGAAATGAAAAATGAAGATATTTTGTCACATAATAAAGAATTTTTTAATAAGTAAAACTGTGAACACCTATGAGAGTTTGTGAGAACAGTGAAATTATATATTGATTTGGAAGATTTAGAATAGGCTTTTTTATAATTTTTAAAAACATACCTTGTAGAGACCAAAGAAACCTAAGTCCCTTAATACACTGAGGGCACTAACTCGTGGACCAGTAGTAATTTCTCCAGCCACCTGCAATCGAATCTTGACAATTTCCAGTGGATTGGTAAAGATCACTTGAGAACCTCCAGCCTGAAATTAAAAGTAGAAATCAATACATTAACCTGTAAGATTATTTGCAGTGTATGTCCTGTTACATTCAAGATACGACATTTTTATTTCTGCTGCAGTCAGTTAAGTTATTAGCAGAGAAGAGTTTTAGTATTAGTTAATGCACCTCACAAGATATGAAACCTACTCCCCCACGAGCTGAGTGGTCAGGAAAAAGAGAGAGGAAGAAGGTCAGCCACTACAGGACACTGCAGCACACCAGACGGACACCAGCTCAATTCTTGTAGCAATAATACATTCACCAACACCAAGTTATGCAACACTGACAAGCCAAGAACACTGTAACACAAGTAATGAAGTGAAAGGAAAAATTAGTAACTAATAAAGAAACTGTGATGTGCATGCCAGTCTACAGAAAGTGAATATATACTATTGAAGAGTAGAAATCTGGCAGAAACTTGTTCAATTTTGACAAAGAACACGTGGTCCAAAAATGAGAACTGCAAGTGCTTTTTTAAAAAACCCTCTGAACTACCAGTTTCAGTGCCATCAAATGCCGTTTGATTCAAGAGTCTGAGCTCCACATCATTATTTACGCATCAGGTACTAAAGAAAAGAAGGTCCACAGACTGAAGGATTCTATTAATCAAGAACTGCTAAATGTTTTTAATGTGTCAGTCTCCACTTGTTGGGAAGACACCACTGGATTGATTTTGAAAGTCAGTTTTAAAACAACAGTGGCAAGCATTTTGGACTCCCCACTAGTTCTTGTAAAGTTTGCCTCATTCATATTATGTAATATAGGGCACAACCTTTCTGCTACACTGACAGATCTAGAGCTAAAAATTTGCAACAAGAAAAAAGGTAACATGAAGGTTACCTAAGCGTATTCAAAAAATAGTCATTCAAACTCCATCTGGCTCAAATTCAACAGTGTCATTCTAACTTCTGCTAAATTCATAATTCTGTGGCCTGACAGCTATGCTCTTCTTAATGTTCTGAAATCACACAAACTCACCCTCCCCACCATAAAACAAGTGTTCTGTTCTAGAAGGTAATGACTAAAATGAAATAAGCTGCATTTAAAAGCCCTTGCATTGGCCATGTCTAGTATGTAACCACCACGTGCATATCTTTTTTTAATTATCCAAATGTTAAAAGAATTAATTGTAGCTCAGATTAACTATCATTCAAAATAAAAAATAAATGCAATAATATGGTTTAAACGATGTGCTGAAGAAATGGCAAATCACACGAACAACTATTCTTGTCTATCACTTAGACTGAGCATACACAGTGTGGTTACAAATTAAGGTCTTTACATAACCCCCAAAATATCCCAAATGTTTCCTATTTTGACCAGAAAAAGCATGCTCTTGTGTAACTCAAATAGTTTTGACTTTCAAATTGGCATAATTTAATTTAAATGCTTTTACCAAACCAGAAGCCTGGTACATTTAAAACTGCTGTTCTTGTTGCCATCAGAAATTAGACTGATAAATTATTTGGCACATATGCTGCCTTCAGTTTTGCACTTAAACTGAAACATGTTAAATAAGTAAGTATTCAAAACACAAAATTGTTTCTTTTACTTGTCTACTCATCTTGCAAATTCTCAAAATAAACAAAAAGAATCCTGAAAAGGTTCTCTGGTGAGTTGCATATTCCTATGTAATAAATACTTTGGTGTAGGTATTACAAATATTAAGCATTCCCACATGCCAACATACATATTTTCTTCTTAAAAAGGATAAAATCTCAACTGCAGGAGATAATGTTCATTTGCAAGCTTGCTACACCACAGCTATCCTCTAAATGCACATTACTGAAAAAGTCATATCAATTGATCTATTAGCACAATAAAACTACTTTCCCTCAGTATGATACTCTTGCAGTTAATTGTGCCATGACTCCATGAAAACTGTTCCTTTAATTTTCACTACAGGAGAACCATCCTAAAATTTAAAAGATGACAACAAAATTAAGTAGCAGTAGTATTATTAATGCACCAAAATATGGAACAATTTTAAAATCTATAGAAATGTTTATAAGGGAATGCCATACTTTAAAAAAAGAATATAGAAACACATATTTGATTTTAAAGGAGAATAAAGGCAAATAAATTCTGAATACAAATGAATGGAAGTACTTCAGGTGCTAGCACATATAAATGTTTATGTTTGCATGTCCAACCTGGCTGGGTTGGCAGTTCCAGCATTAGATGTTTGCTGCTCTGGCTAAATCATAAAAGACTTCCTCTGCTTCAGCCTCCTATATAAAAATGGGGATGCCATTATTTACCCACCTCATACAATCAAGCTCTCTGCGTTCAGTTTTTAAAACTACTGAGATCTGCATGCACCAGGCAGTACTAAAAAGACTAACAATTTTGCTGCCCACACAGCAAGTGTGAAGAACGACACTGGTAATTTCCATTGAAGTCTTTCCAAACTGTCCAGGTACTAGCCCAGAACTCCCTGAACAACCTCTGAGTTTGATCAAAGATATACACCAAAAATCAAATGGTGAATAACTGAAAGTGGTGAGCCAGACAATACCTGACAGAGGGTCTCAACAGGAGGGTTTCTACCACCTGCCTGCCTTGTGATGGAGAGGAAGCCTGGTTTATCAGCCCGTGCAGAGGCAGTTCCAGCGGTAACAAGTACAGTCGCCTGGTGGGGAGCTTTGATCATTCTGTTATTTAAGCATCTGTGCTGGTAACTGCAGCTCCTCACTCTCAAAATGGGAGGGGGGGAAGGGGGGAAGCAAACCGGAGATGGCTACTATACTCTCTAATGAAATGATTTCTTGCTTATCTAGTACTGGTAACTCCTATTGTGCTATTCATCATCATAGTATGCAAGTGTCTCATAAATATTAATGTATTTCCTCCCAGTGCTCCTGTAAGAAAAGTACAATGACTCTGGTTTTACAAGAAAGGGTTCTGAGGCAGAGAGGTTAATTGTATGCCCAGTGTATCCCCCCCAGCTCAAACACACACAGCTTGTAAGAGTCTCCAGATACCCTGATCTCAAAATCAGTGGTTTGAATCAAAATAGCACGGCTTCTGTCTTCCTTCTGAGTTTCTGCATAGTGAATGCAATGAAAGAAATCTTATCAATTTATTTTTTTGCAGTCTGTTCAAGGTGCTGGTATAAACTGGTATGAAAAAACCAGACAAAACATCAGCAGCACATTGTATCACCCTGCTCATTCATTGTTTGACCAAAAGTTGAAGACTATGGCTTTTTGTTTGCTAACTTTTGCAGTTAAAAGTGTATTTCATTGTAAAATTTTGAAATATGCTCCCAAAGGGCAGAATTTGAAAACTACTCCTTTTTTTTTGTCCAGAATAAGCACCATTTAAGCTCAGGTTTCTCAAGCTTAATGATTTCTCCAGTAAGTGTCAGAAAAATCAACTTCATTAACTACTTAATATAGACAGTTCTCAATCACACCAATTTTTCTGTACTGAAGTTATAAACTTGAATAGCCTCAACTCTGAATTCCTTATCAGCTCCTCTAATAATTTTTTAAAGAAACAAATTATCTGACTGTAAGAGCACATCTATTACTTTCCAGTTGTTATCATGTGATTAAAGTAAAAACTACAATTTTGAGTTATTTATAGGAGTAGATACCTAGAGGTACTGCATAGATAATTAACTGTAAGGGTCCCCAAAGGGTCCATATTATTCTGAAAGAATTTAATATTTGACCTAATCGCAAGTACTTATGGTCTTGTTTGAATTAAAGCAAGAAAATAAAAGGAAAATATCTCTGTCATCGAAGAACTTCTCATTCCCACATAACTAGAAATCTGCATGCCTTTAAATATGCTTTAACACACAGTCAGCTAGCTATGCATCCACACACGTGAATTTTTAAAGATAAGCTAGCTTTTTTTTTTCATTTTTGCAGTTCCTCAACTCTGCTATTCATATGATATCACCCAACACCTCTCGATGGCAGTATAGTCTCGTACAGTAATACAGCACTATCATGTCTCCTTCTGCTTTCCTACTTCACTGAACAGAACGGAGAAGTAGAAATAGCTGAAGGCTGGTTGGTGTTTTTGTCCATGGAGAAATAAAACCCACTCTGTAGTGAAAAAAAAAAAGTTTAATAACAACCACTTAAAAATACTCTAGTTGGAGAAGTCAGAATGTTTTCTACTTCTTCAGGTGTTCAAATCACTCTGCAATAAACTTACTGGAAAATAAACAGATTTTCACTCCCCTCATTACACTAAGAGAAGAAATTCCTGTTCTTTTTAATGTAACTGCATGTTGTGCCCTTATGAGGTTAGATAAGAAATGAGCACACCAGACACAACTCTCCTCAGGCTTTCACATCTCCATTTGAAACGTTCAGTGTACCTTCTGAAGAGAATACAGCTTGCAATTCAGGAAGGAAATTCTGTGCTTTCCATTCCAGAAGAAAGTACTAGATTCTTTTCTTTTCGGTGCTACTGACCACCAAATGTTCTTGTTCCTCTAATTAACCTTATTACCTACTTCAAATCATAAGCCCTTTCCTGCTCTCAGCTAACAGCATTTAGGGTCAGTCTAGATCTTTCCTCTGCATCCCATCCGACTTATCACATATCCCCTCTTATGGTTTCACAAATGAAGGAAGGATTACTCCTGCTATTAGAGTGTTAATATTTCCCAACAATATCACCCAGGGATTGCAATTATGGCAATTAAAGGCAACCATTAAAATACATTAGTAACATATTATGCAATTATCAAAAATCAACCTCTGCAAAAGAAATTGTCTACAATGTCTTATTACTTGTTTAATTCATAAAAAGACAAGCAGGTGCAAGTTCCAAAATTTTTTGTCAACTATTTATCACATTAAATCCTACTGAATGTTGTACTCTGTCCCAAGTCCTTACTACTCCTTGCCAGTTGCCAGATTTAGCTTGTTTTCCTGTGCACTTCCTAGCATCCAATAATCTTATTTAAAATCAAGGTTCCTAAAGTACAGACACAAAATAAAGATTGTTCTCTGTC